ATGTACATTTATTTGGCAAACTGATATTACATATAAATCTACTAATACTTCAAACTGTGCATTAATGGTGGGTGCGTTATACCTTGGGGTTGTTTTATAGGTTGGTTTAACTCTTGACTAGCACGATTCTTAAATTCTTCAAAAGTAACAATATCGTCAGGTTCAGATGATTCCGTATCATTAATTGAGGAGGTGTGATCTTCTGAGGAAGAATTAGTAGCTTCATCTTGAGCTGAAGAAGTGTCCTTATCTTGATCTGATAATGTCGTTGAATCATTCTCTCCTTGTTTATCGCCTTCTGCCTCTTTAGTTAATTCTATTGTTTCAATATTTACTTCTCTCCTTTCTAAGTCTCCCTCCTCCTCCTCCTTTCTCTCCTCTGTTGATTCATTATATTTTCCTTTCTCTTTCTTCTCCAGTTCCAAAGAATTATCTAGAGGCGTGGTCTCTTCAGTCTCCGTGGTAACAAGCTCCACCTCCTTAGCACCAGTAGAATTATCAACCATTGTTTCTTCAGTTACAGTAGAAGGGACCTCTTCCTTCTCTTCCTTGTTCTCTTTTCCCATGTCACTTTCATTCTTATCATTTTCTCCTCCACTATTAGCCACACCCTCACTTCCTTGAGTATCGGAACTAACTGGTTTATCATCACTAGCATTGGCTGATGACTGGGGGATGTTGCTATCAGAGCAAGTGAAAGCTGCACACCTAATGAAAATGGAAGTCACACATCAGGCATGCGTGTGTGTGTATGAATAATTAATAGGCCATATGTCATACATAATGTGTTAATGTATAATTCATTTAACACAACTGACAATAGTCCAATGAACAAATGCACAATCATATTATAAATAAGGTGATTATAAATTTTTAAAAGTAATTATAAAAAACACTTTAAAAACCTACAAAATATTATAATCACCACACCCTCAAATGAATGGTCGTTGATTGATCTAAATGTCAATCTGGTATTTTTGCATGTAAAAAAAAAAATTATTTTTACACATAATCAATCCCACAAAAATAGCCAGTTATTAATTAATACTTACACAAGGACTATAGTTAATATCAACATGCATTGATTTCTTCCAACCATTTCCTCTACTATACCTACAGATAATGACAGGATGGGAAAAAGAATATAATCAGTGTCTAATAAAATGAATACCTAAAGGAAAGGAGGTCTTTGCCTCGTGTATAAGGCAAACTTTCTTCAAATTTTCTTTCTTCTGAGCTCTTTTTTGTGCTGTTTCTAAATAATGCCCAATAATAAATTAAAAGGGCGTGGTAATGACTAGAATTTGCATTGTTAGTAAACTATTCGTATACACAAACCACGTGATGCCAAAACAGGACAGAAAGAAAAAGTAGGAGAGAGGGAAGGACAATTTGGATAACCACATAATTACAAGAGGAAGGGAGTTATCTTGGTAAGCACAAATAAACCTTCTGTGTTTATCAACTAGTCAATGCTGCATCAAGTTTAAAATGACTAAGACTTTGGTTGCTATAGCTAAATAGAGTATTGTTTATGTTTACATTACCTGGTTTATTTAAAATCATTATTTTGAAGGGTGCTTCAAAGCTAGAGCAATTGTAGTATCTATGCAAAGATGGCAATGTCACTCGTTGTAACAGCTGCTATCTTGTTGAGTGTCAGTGAAGTTATTAGTCAATGTCCACCTTCCTCAGGTAACACACTGGATGTGTATAATAACAACTGTATAGGTTTTTATAGGTATCTACCTGAGGCATGATGGAAACTGTTATACTAATGGATCATATTTTTGGGATAATAGTGTCAATGCAGCTAATGAAGCTATATCATGTGTGTTACCTGGTACTAGTCTAACTACTGGTCAGTGGGTTAGAGTTGCTGATCCTGATGATCCTGTTGACTGTAACAGTAATAGTGCCAGTGATCCTTTTCATTGTACTTCTGTCACTTCACCTGATGCTACTCTCAATCTTTATCTTGCTCAGGGACTATCAGCAGCTCAAGAAGGCTGGTACAAGTGTTGTCTACCCACTGATTGTTCAACTTCTGGTACCAACACCATCTTTGCTAATATATTCAGTAAGAGAAGACTATAATCACTTACTGATGCAATAATTTTCATTTGTAGGATTTGCAGAGATAGAATCATTTACTGTTGCTGATCTTCCTTCTGATATGACAGTATATCCTCAGGAATACAAACTGAATTGTATTAAAATTGGACACTATACTTATGGTATTAGCATCAACATTGGTACTGCTGCATTGGCTAGTCACACTGGATGTTATGATCCTAATGGTAATTGTAATGGTACTGTGTTAGTTAGTAGTAGCAACACAGTAAGATATACTGTTGATATCACATGGGATGGAATGAATGTCAGTAGTGGATCAATCAGTCAATCAACCACTGGAGATCAAATGTATCAGTGTGTAGTACAAGTTGCTGGTCAACCAACTAGAACACGTGATGTAATTGTAAAAGGTAATGTTTAATGAATGCTAATAATTCTTGTTACCAATAATATTAGTACCAGCAACTGCTCCCTCTTCTCTTACTGAGGTCAACAAGACAGCTACCACTATCACTGTCAGTTGGACTGCACTTGATTCATCTGATGCTGATGGATATGTAGTCAATGTCACTAGTGACACAGACACTGTGCAGACAGTACAGGTGGAGGGAAGTAGTAATAATACAATCACACTGAATGGACTGAGAGAACTAACAACTTATAGCATCACAGTCAGAGCCTATCAACAATTACTGGGACCTGCTAGTAGTACAATCAGTGTCTTCACTCATATTTGTCAGCAAGAAGGTATTTTAATTTTAATAGAATTATAATAAATGCAAGTAGGTATCTTCCTGATGCATGATGGAAACTGTTGTCCTAATGGATCATATTTTTGGGATAACACTGTCAATGCAGTTACTGAAGCTATATCATGTGTGTTACCTGGTACTAGTCTAACTACTGGTCAGTGGGTTAGAGTTGCTGATCCTGATGATCCTGTTGACTGTAACAGTAATAGTGCCAGTGATCCTTTTCGTTGTACTTCCATCACTTCACCTGATGCTACTATCAATCTTTATCTTGCTCAGGGACTAACAACAACTACAGAAGGCTGGTACAAGTGTTGTCTACCCACTGATTGTTCAGATCCTAACACTAACATCATCTTTGCTAATATATTCAGTAAGAGGAGACTATAATCACTTACTGATGTAATAATTTTCATTTGTAGGATATTCAGAGATAGAATCATTTACTGTTGCTGATCTTCCTTCTGATATGACAGTATATCCTCAGGAATACAAACTGAATTGTACTAAAATTGGACACTATACTTATGGTATTAACATCAACATTGGTACTGCTGCATTGGCTAGTCACACTGGATGTTATGATCCTAATGGTAATTGTAATGGTACTGTGTTAGTTAGTAGTAGCAACACAGTAAGATATACTGTTGATATCACATGGGATGGAATGAATGTCAGTAGTGGATCAATCAGTCAATCAACCACTGGAGATCAAATGTATCAGTGTGTAGTACAAGTTGCTGGTCAACCAACTAGAACACGTGATGTAATTGTAAAAGGTAATGTTCATGAATGCTAATAATTCTTGTTACCAATAATATTAGTACCAGCAACTGCTCCCTCTTCTCTTACTAAGGTCAGCAAGACAACTACCACTATCACTGTCAGTTGGACTGCACTTGATTCATCTGATGCTGATGGATATGTAGTCAATGTCACTAGTGACACAGACACTGTGCAGACAGTACAGGTGGAGGGAAGTAGTAATAATACAATCACACTGAATGGACTGGATATAGAAACAACTTATAGCATCACAGTCAGAGCCTATCAACAATTACTGGGACCTGCTAGTACAATCAGTGTACAGACTTTACCAGGTATTGCTACTGCACCTTTTAATGTACTTGTAACATTGTTGATGTATTTCTAGTTATTAATTCAATCAATTGGACACTAGTCTCATCCATTACACAACTCAATAACACTCAATATCGTATTGATTGTCTCACAACTACCGATATAAATCCTTCAACTGATGTTCAATGGTTAGTAAATGAAGTGATGAAGAGTAACTCAAACTATTCATTGATTGATGTTCTGGCATACCATAACACACTACTGGTATATCCTGATCCACTGGGAGTGTCAGTTAATGTTACCTGTATAGCAATGATCGGAGGAGTCAACTACAGTCAATCTGTGATATTACATGGTATGATTATACTTTAATCAATAGTAGATACTCTTGTCTCTTTTCTAGCTCCTAGTGGTCCTCCAAATAATGTGAGAGGGTTTATATTAAATGCTACTAGTATCAAAATGAACTGGACCAATTCATCAGAGACTAATGGATATGTGATTGAGTATACTACTGGAGGTGTAACCAGGAATGTAATATCTACCAGTGAAGATGAAATTGTACTAACAGATCTCTCACCAATGAGTACCTATACCATCAGTGTGTACTCATATATAGATCTTCCTTCAGTTAATAGTACAGTAACAGTGTTAAGATTTGATGGTGAGATATTGTGATTGAGAGAGTGTAATTGATATCTGTTGTAGTTCCTAGTCCAGTAACTAGTCTCTCAGTATCTAATGTCTCAACCACTGGTATTACAGTGAGCTGGACTATTCCCAGTAGTGACAACTATGTAACATACTACACCATCTCCTATACTCCATCTTGTCCCCAGTTATCATCAGTGAATGAGACAGTCTCTGTTGGTCCTCATCAGCCCACTACAACATACAGTTATACATTAATAGGTCTGTACAGTGGTATGAACTATACCATCACAGTGAGAGCTGGTAATGTACTAGGAGGGTCTGTTTCTGTTTTAACTAATGAAAATACATCATCAATAGGTATGATCATTAACTATTTTGCATTTATTATTTTTATATATTATAGCTCCTACTGGTTTTGCTGATTTTTTGTGTTTATTACAACCAATTAATAATCTCACTTGGAATGAGGTCAATTGTTCTGAGCGTAATGGTCTAATCACAGGCTATACAGTGATTATCAGTAACAGTAGTTTCACATACAACCTCACCAGTACTGAGAGATATATCATATTGAATGATCTAGTATTTGGTACTGAGTATAACATCAGTGTAGCTGCTGTCAATTCTGTTGGAAGAGGTCCCTTCAGTGATCCTATTGTAGTAGAGATTGGAATAGGTATGTAATTACTATACTATATCAGTTCTGTGAGAATGTGTGTTTATTTAGGACCTGGTCCAGTTGGTTCAGTATCCAGTATCATGGACACTACATGGGCTGTTATCTCATGGAGTGTACCTAGTTATATTCCATCAGACTATCCCATTATCACATATGAGATAGGATATCATATCTTAGAGTATGGTAACTGTTCAATGGTAGATGATGATGACATTGATATTCAAATGCTACAGTTCTCTAATTCAACCAATGGCAATACAATTTTTAACATTACTGGTCTTAATGATATGTCTTGTTATATTTTTGGTGTACGTGCATACACTGATAATGGATATGGAGAATGGACAGTTATTGCTAATGAGACACTAGAGCTACCCCCACTACCATCACTGACTTCAACATCTTCTAGCACACTAAGTAATATTATAGTATCAAGTAATGATTTTATTTCTATTTATTCTAGTATATGTTATTCTCAGTGTAACTGTCATTTCCATTTTTATACTATTACTGATACCTGTAATAATAGCTGTTGTTATGATCATTAAAATGAGGTATATTTAAATACTTGAATTAATTTAAAATATAATTTTGTAGACTAAAGGCCAAAGAGAAAATCATCATAACAGCTAACAAGCCTGAAAAGAGTAAAAGTATTGTTCAATAAAATATGCTTTTCATGATACTAATATTAGCTATAGATAAAATAAAAGCTAATGATTATCAAAATGCAAAACTTCAGCAACTGTCAGCTGGCACATACAATGTATTACATGAGCATTCAGAGCTAATGGAGACATCACTAGGAGAAACAGAATCTCATTCATATTCGACTGTTGCTGCTGTTTGCTCAGAAAGTATACTCATACATTCAATTATTTATCTTACTAATGTACAATAGCAGTAACAGATGAGTATGATG